TACTGGCATGATGCTAACGGAAAACTCGTCCAAAATTGCTTCCAGAGTGGTGTAGAACAAAGGCTTTTTTGCTTCGAGCTGGGCAACAGTACCCGATACAGTCGTGTTAAAATCATCATGAATGAGGGTGTGCAACAGTTCAGTACGCGGTTTACTTTCAAGAAAGCTTTTTAATTTTAGGTGGTCATTCACTGCGAATCGCTGACGACAGCGAGCTGCTGAATCCTTGTCGAACTGAAGAACCAGTGGGTGATTGTGGTGGAAAGGACTGCAATCTTCAACTTGGCGAGGTACTTTACTACAGTTTTTCCATTGTCAGTACTCCATCGGTTTCCCAGTTCCGCATAAATTGCCCACTGTTAACTACGTCTAGCGCAGTTATAAATCTACAGTCCTTATGAAAAGCAGGACAAAGGATAAAGACAAAGGGGCGTCCAGGCAGCAGCTGCGTAATGCCCCCTTATTGATCTTAGCCGTCAGTCTTTTTATAGTCTCGCACCTTCTAGGACCAGAGGCTGGAAATCCAGGCTTGTTTTTCGGCAACCGCGTACTCTGTTAGGGCGCAAATTTTTCACTTTTCGTGCGGGCATGGAGTTTCTAAAAATGAGCAGAGCTATACCGATATCGGATTCTCTTTCACTATTTCGAAAATCGGTTTTTCGATATCTGCACTCTGTGAAATAGGGTATTGCTTTAGTCTTACTTTCTTTTTTTTCCATTTTACGTGTTGTCTTTTTATTGTGTGGTTACTAGGTAATAATTCGTTCTCGTTTTTTTTTATTTATTTTCGCAACATGTCACCGAGCATGTAATAAATTTGAAATTTGAAATAATTCTAGTCTCTCATACATACATGCCCTCTGCCTGTTTTCCGTCTGCACCCTGCAGCCGTAGCTGCGCATGCAGCTACACCTCATGCTGTTCTTCGGATATGAATCGTATCATCTGATTTTCTCATGTTCATCACGCGAAACAACTTTTTTCCGCTCTTCAGCGGAGGTTACTCTCCTCATCATTACGGACTGTCGGGGCGGGTCAGTGCGGCTGCGTTTTCCGCGGTGCCAAAGTCTTTCTGCACCAGTTGTTGAAGCGAGCAAATGACATGACAGCATTATATCCTTCGTATTACTCGTTTTCTACCACTTTTTGTCGCATACGCGTTTCAACGAAAAGGCTGAGAACGGCTTCAAACAGTGTGCGCACTCCTACTGGCTGATACGCCCCGACAGTCCGTAATGATGAGGAGAGTACGCAATCCATGAGAAAGGAAAATTTACATCGAACAAAAAAGTGGACCTCTTCCTTAGGGGGTTGGACATTCTCACGCGGCCATCATGCTAGTCAGCAACCTTTATAAGAATATATCTAGAGCAGCGGTTTTATCGCCCTCCTCAGTGAATTTCGATGACTGGAACCCAAGCGGTTATCGGTAATGCCTTATTGCCTCTCCATAGCTTAGAATTTCGTATCGAACTGACTGTGGGGTAGTCCCAGGGCCAATATAAATCCACTTTTCCGTACTACTTTATTGTGAATAAGGATCACAGCGATCTACCTATTCGTATATCCGCTCGCCTCTTTCAAATCTGTATCCTTTCAGATCTGTATTGCGGGTTCAGTTTGCGGTTGTCCAGTTGGAATGCGTCGTGCAGCTCCGACGGATGCCTGCCATTCCGTTGAGTCCTGGAATGTTCCACTTCTCGTTATGCGAAAGGAACACACCAATCTCATCTACAATGACTCATTCGCCAATCCAATGGATTCCACCTACAAGGTATTGTTCTAAACTCCACCAAGAATCGGAATCTCGCTAGTTGCTGTATGGAACAAGGGGCTTAAAAAAAAAGCTCGTATGGTAACAGCGTACTGCCCAAGGTACTACCCGAAAATTTTTCATTTCAAGCAGAAAAAGGAAAACTCAGGAAACCTCGACAACTTAACAGCCCTCTTCGATTTGAAGAAGAAAGAAAGGCTGTAAAGTTACCCCTGAAGCGGTGTCGACCTAGAAGAGCGGAGCCACGCAGCAGTGTTCCCCAACGCTTCAGGGATTCTCACTCTAAGGCTTTCAATAGTTTCTTTGCTCATTTGGGCACTGAATATCCAACATTGACATAGTCAAAGGACGGACCTGAAATAATGCTTGTCCCATTACACGGCTAGGAAACCACTCGTACCTTGTGCAAACCTCGGATTACTATAATCTGAATAATTGATAAAAACTAATCTTATGAGTCCTAAAGCAACATAATTCCCCTTGTTTCAGAAGTACGTTCGGGATTACGAGCGCGGAATCGGCGGATGTTACCCTCACACTATTCTTCGTAACTCCTTTGTCGCCGCTGATGTGAATGAAATCATCAATCCTAGGGTAATTTTTGTGCTGCTATACTCAACCTTCATCAAAAATATTCCCTTAAACTCGTTTTCAGATGATGAACGCCAGTTGGGAAAGTGGACTTCTGTTCAACACAACAGTTCACTTCAGAAAAGGTTCGTTCCCTCAAGTGTTTCGGAAAGATTTGGCGGATCTTCTGTATAAGCGGAGCCGTCCTGGGTGGGGCCAAAAGTAACTGCACATGTAGACTGTTGCTCTTCTTATATGATTACAACTTCGTACTGAAGAAGATGGGCGGGGAGGTTGCCAGAAATAAAAGTTGCCTAGATATCTCAAAATCGAGGCCAGGGCTGTCGGGGTTGGACGCGTTGTCGACGTTACCAAAGACTTTCAGAAATCTTCAACTAGTGCTCCGGGTATGAGCCAAATCCGGCGCGAAGCACGTTCTCAAATTTATTGTTGGCCTATAAGTCCCAGTCCAGCACCACGTCTACTTCTTGAAATACTCGGTTTTTCTTTTTGACAGGTCATTACTGCTTTTCACCCACACTATTACTTGTCGATGAGTCGTGTCGCAACCGCGCGCGCCTCATGCTGGTTGAAATCACAACAGCGTCTTCAATAGGACACGTTTTCAAACCAAAATACTATTTCCAGGAGCAGTTCGGGTACCATCAGATGTTTACTATGAACTGGTCCGTTACATTGTTGATCGAAATGGCTATGAAGTCGGCGACAGTGGGTTATATTTGAACGAGTATCAACCGAACCCCTACAAGGCTTGCTTCAAGGTCAGCAGTCGTGTTCTTTTTGGTTTTTAACAATCAATTATTCCGAATCTTTCCAGAACGACTGTCACCCCAAGGGAATCTGCTATGACTTAACAGATCGCACTTATCGATGCGAGTGTGGAGCTGGATTCCGAGATCTCGATCCTTCTGATCCTGGAAAGAAATGTGTCCCTGTTTATGGATTTAATGAATGCGAGAAAAAGGTACAAAGCTCATCCATATATTGGAAAGAGCATGGGTTGATTTAATCTTTTTCAGGAGGACAACGAATGTTCGGAAAATGCTCGCTGTATCGACCTTGAGCACCTTGTACAAATGCGAATGCTTGCCATCGTATTCGGACGCTGCTCCACCAGGAGCTGTTCCAGGTCTTGTCTCTTCCTCGCTCATTCTTCGGACCAAACCCAGTAAACCCGCCTTTCAGGATCCGTCTGCGTTCTGGACTACTGCAGTGATGTGAACTTCTGCCCGACAAATACCACATGTAAGAATATGGAGCAGCAGGCCGAATGCCGATGTGACCCTGGATTTACCGACATCAGGCAAGGATTCACGTAGACACACTCACTTTCTGTCCGTGTATGGCGCTCATATGATTCCAGAAAAAGCGAGAATCGTAAATCCATTGGACTTAGCGACGACACACTGTGTATGCATGTGAGGGACGTGAACGAATGCGCTCTCGGACTCACCAACTGCTCAGGTAAGCTTCTACGCAAGTGTTCTCGTGTATCTACGCAGCTTAACGCGAGTGCAACGCTCTCACAGTTGCGGTTGACGTGTGTTTTATTAGGTTGTTGCATAAGTTCTTTTCCCGACTTTTTTGTAAATATCTCAATAGCGAACCAGCCTGAAGATTAGAGGTATGCACCATCACCATCCACTACTCGACGCCAACGCTCAGGCAGCTTGTCGATTCCATCCTCCCAGAAGGACGGGGGCTGGGACCCGAAGAAGGCCACAATGCCGCACAATCACCACTGTGACATGGTTTTGCACTGGTAATTGTGCGGC